GGGCTGGGCACGGCGCCTTTTGTCCCGGGAGGTCCCTGGAAGTTTGCGGCGGGACGCGCGCGAGCGGCGGCCGGGGCAGCCCCGACGTGGTGGGAGCCAGGCCGCCGAGCCGGCATGGGCAGCGGGCGCGGCGCGGGGGGCCGCCGCTGGGCCGCCCCGGGCGTGCTGCTGGCGCTGGCCGCTGGGCTGCTGGCCGCGGGCTCGGCCAGCGAGTACGACTACGTGAGCTTCCAGTCCGACATCGGCTCATACCAGGGCGCCCGCTACTACGCTAAGCCTCCGCAGTGCGTGGACATCCCGGCGGACCTGAGGCTGTGCCACAACGTGGGCTACGACAAGATGGTGCTGCCCAACCTGCTGGAGCACGAGACCATGGCCGAGGTGAAGCAGCAGGCCAGCAGCTGGGTGCCCCTGCTCAACAAGAACTGCCACATCGGCACGCAGGTCTTCCTGTGCTCGCTGTTCGCGCCCGTCTGCCTCGACCGGCCCATCTACCCGTGCCGCTGGCTCTGCGAGGCCGTGCGCGACTCGTGCGAGCCCGTCATGCAGTTCTTCGGCTTCTACTGGCCCGAGATGCTCAAGTGCGACAAGTTCCCCGAAGGGGACGTCTGCATCGCCATGACCCCGCCCAATGCCACCGAAGCCTCCAAGCCCCAAGGTAAGGCCGCCCGCTCCCTCCGCGGCCCGGGGCACCCGCCCGCCCCGCCGCGGGCCGGAGTCGGACGCGCCCCAGAGGCGGCTCTCACGCTGTGCAGAATGACTCTAAACCCTGTCTGGTGTGTCCGAGGCGTCGCCCAGCGCCTCTGCCCACCCAGGTGCCTGGCGGGGCTGGCCTGGAGCGGGATTCTGCTCTTCGGCCCCGCAGACGCTCGGTCTGGTCCCAGGAGGGGCTCTTTTGGGGGTCCAGGCTGGCTCGTTCCATACCTGGAACAAAGCCTCGAGCGTTCCTGTCCTCTGGGAGGGCACCGAGTCCCCGTGGAAGTCTTTAACCTCCGAGACCTGGGTGCTCTAGTAGGAAGAAACCGAACCCCCAAATGTGGGAAGCTCATAAAGGCCGAGGGAGTGCTCGGCGCTGCTCTGTTTAATAGATTTGATGAAAACTTAAAAAAAAACCCAAACAAACAACTCTTTCTGCAGTTAGCCATTAAACCAAGTAGCCCCGGGACTGCTGCCGAACTGGCTTAGAAAAAGAAAAGTGGAAACGGTGGGGATTTCTGTTCCTCCCCGCCCAGGCAGGTAACTGCGCTGCACTCGGCGAGGGAAGTCTCTTCTTGCTGGCTCCCGGTCCCCCACAGCTTTTCTCATTTACACAAATCCTCGGGTAATTAGAAAGATAAAAATGTAATTAGCTCATTGTTCCTCTCCTCCTGGGGGATTTCAACTCCCGAAGTCCGGAGACTTACCTAACTGCTGGGGGAATGGCCTGAGGTTCCTCTCTGAACCCCGTTCTGTTTAAATGGAAATTCTAGAGGGCAGAAGAAGAAAAAAGTCCTGGAGAGGTAAAACAAAACCAGAAAAACCCCAGCTGGTGGCCTGACTTCTATAGGAATGAATTCCACTTGGAATTCTAGGGGAGCGGATTTGGGGCTCTGAGAAGTGGGGAGCCACACCCCAGGTGTACTCAGCACCGGGCTAGCTTTCCAGAGCCTTTTGGGGAGGGGGCAAAGGGTGGAGAGAAGGGCTGCTTGCACCCTTGGCTGTTCTTAAAGTGGCGTTCACCTCTGTTATTGATGTTAAAACCAGAAGTGTGCAGTCTCTTAGCTCCCCCAAGTGAGGGATGGGTGGGTGGGGGGGGGGCATCTGGAATTTTGGATGGTCCTGCGTATTCTAGGGAGGGAGGAGATGAGATGGACCCAGGTGACCGGCATTGGCTGGCACAGGTCCGGGCCGGGTGCAGGAGGCACCTCTGCTTTCCAGGCTAACTTTCAGCCGACACTCAGCTCTTTGAGAGCGAGAGCTGAGCAGTTACCTGGAGCAGACAGAGCACTTTGTGTCCCCCGAGTGTGTGGTCATCCCGCGCTGCCCGCACGGTTTCCATTCACCCCTTCCTTGGCCAGCTAGGGGGTTAGCCCAGCCCGGCTCTGCAAGGCTGAGCAAGAGCCCATTCCTGATGGTCACTGATGGTCTCTTTCTAGGGACTGTCTGTGGCCGTAAATGGAGACTTTGGGGGAAGAGCTGTGGGACAGTGGCTGCAGTCCCAGGGCAGACAAGGCACTGGATATGGTGCCTGCTCCAGAGGGGAGAGAATGTCCCACCCAGTTGTACAGGGCTGCGGTGGGTGAGGCAGCCCCATGATCTCTGTCTTCCAGACACCTTCTGTGCCTTGGCTGCTGTCCCTCTTGTCTGTGCCCCCCTCAGCCTGGCTGTCTACCATCCTTCTCTGCCCTTCTCTCTCCCAAGACCAGGTCTGTAATGAATGAATGAAGAGAAAGGAAGTGAACAGACCATTCCGGAGTGGGTCTTGGGACCAGTCCTCCTGTTGTTGACTCTGATGAGAGGCTCTGCCCTGTGAGGGCACTCAGTTCCTCCCTAGGACTGCAGCCCTTGGAGAGAGGGAGCCCATGTGACCTCCCTCCAGGCCGCCTGGCCACTGGCTGTCTGCTGGACTCAGAACTGAGTGCTGCTGCCTAGGTTAAGACTGACCAAACTCTCCTGGTCCTCGTAATTGGCTCTGGCATAAGAACCAGTACTTTTTTTTTTTTTAGACAGAGCCTCAAGCTGTCCCCCTGGGTAGAGTGCCATGGCATTACAGCTCACAGCAACCTCCAACTCCTGGGCTCAAGCGAGTCTCCTGCCTCCGCCTCCCAAGTAGCTGGGACCACAGGCGCCCGCCACAACGCCTGGCTATTTTTTGGTTGCAGCCGTCATTGTTGTTTGGCGGGTCCGGGCTGGGGATTCGAACCCGCCACCTTAGGTGTACGTGGCTGGCGCCTTAGCCGGTTGAGCTATAGGCGCCGAGCCAAGAACCGGTACTTTTAGATAAAAATAAGTACACACACACACTACCCTTTTATTCACTTACTCTTTATTGCTTTTATTCTTTAGAATTAAAACTGAATTTTCAAAGCAATATCATATCTTTGTGTAATTAAGGCTGGTTTCTATTCAAGCATTTGGCCATATTACCGCCTTAATGGGCCTCTGACACTATTTTTTTTTTTTTAAGACAGAGTCTCACTTTGTCACTTCCAGTAGAGTGCTATGGTGTCATAGCTCACAGCAACCTCAGACTCTTGGGCTCAAGTAATTCTCTTGTCTAATCCTCCCAAGTGGCTGGGACTATAGGCGCCTGCCACAGTGCCCAGCTACTTTTTTTAGAGATGAGGTCTTGCTCTGGCTCAGGCTTGGTCTTGAACCTGTGAGCTCAGGCTCACTTGCCTCGGCCTCCCAGAGTGCTAGGATTACAGGTGTGAGCCACCGCACCCGGCCCCACGCTATGTGGTATTAGGGGTGAACCCGAGATAGAAATGAGTCAAAATCTATTCCTCTTCCCATCCAAGGCTGGTACCTATGCTACACCAGCCTCTGTTTTGGAAAAGACAATCATTCTTTTTCTGGGAGAGTTATTTCTAAATCTGGCAGTTCCACTACACCTGTAAATCCCCAGGCTGATACATTGTTGCTCCTCCTTTTCTGCCAGGTTTTACTGATTCAAGTTCTGTGAACGAGTGTTTTTCAGGCGTGTATATGTTAGGTCAGCCTGGCTGTATTAGATTGCAGAGGCCTCAGTGCCCTCACTTACCCAAAGAACCTTCCTCAGGGTCCCGTCTTGCTTTTTCAAGGCTGGGGGAGACTGTGTGTGTTTGTGTGTGTGTGTGTGTGAGAGAGAGAGAGAGAGAGAAGGGTTGGGGGGGAGAGGTAGAAGGTGGGAGAACCGGGGCAGGGAGGGAAGAAGATTATGTGTGTGCATTGATTTAAAAAAAATTCACTTAAAATGGAACTTCATCCTGGAAGTGAGAACAATGTAACCTAAAAATTGTACCCTCATTAATGTGGAAAAAAAAAAAAACTCAAAAAAAATTTCACTTAATACTAATTCCAGAGTTAGTCTCTTTACTCCTTAACTGCTAGTAAAACACAAAACCTTTTAGTTATTGTTCATTGCTTTAAATATTATTTTGAATACACTTTAAAACACTGATTCAGTTCTCGTCAGAGAGACAATAGGGTAGATTTCTGCTGCAGAGGGAGGCGGCCTGCAGGCCAGGTCAGGGCTGAGCCAGGTCAAGGCTGTGTTGCAGGATGCACCATGCAGGCCAGGTCAAGGCTGAGCTACAGGACTCACCATGCAGGCCAGGTCAAGGCTGAACTGCAGGACTCACCATGCAGGCCAGGTCAAGGCTGCAGGACTCACTGTGCAGGCCAGGTCAAGGCTGAACTGCAGGACTCACCATGCAGGCCAGGTCAAGGCT